CAAGGGGAGCTCTGGCCTCCCCTGAGCCTCTTCCCCCACCCTCAGCACCCCTGGCTCTCTCTGCTCCTCCTGCAGCAGCTCCCAGGCTTTGGGCACACACCCTCTCCAAAAAGGAAAGTTTAAATTAAAGGCATTGTGCAAAAAGGGAAGGGTTTACATTAAAACATTAACATTAAATTAATGGTTTAATTTAACATTGAAAAAGAAAAAGCCAGATGACTGCAAAGCACTTTCCATGTTGGACCCCCGCACCAAATTTACTTGGGAGTTTAATTCCTCTTTCATCCTTGTTTATTATCTCATTTCCTTGGCCTTCCGTTAATCCGTTTTCTGAATAAATGTTTATTTGCTGCTGTATTTAATTTTTTTCCCTGACCTTCACAGCTCCACGTGGTCTGGGTGGGAGGCAGGAGCTGCTGAAGTGGGGAGCAGCTCAGTGATGGGTTTAATGTGGGCTCCAAGCTCAGCAGAGCAGATTTTAAATGCCAAATCTGCTCCGAGATCAGTCTCTTCAGAGGTGTGGGAAGAAATACGGATGCAAAACAAACATTTTTTAATTCCTAATAAATATTAACATTCCATTGTGATGCTGCACATATACTCAAGACCTAATTAATAAATTCCACAGATTTTAGTGATCTGAATGCAATGATCCCTATCAGGCAGTAAATAGGAGAAGAATTAGCAGAAGACTGATAGGGCAGAAATCCTGATTTGTCTCAGGCTGCCAGGCTCCAGAAATGCTGTGGGAGCCAATTTCTGTCCCGGGATGTTCCTGGGAAATCAGTGGCAGTAATAATGTCCACGGCGTGCCATCAGCCCCAGAGCAGCCTGGGCTGCAGCTCTCTCCTTATTTGGGGGTTATTTTAATTAATGGACCTCTCCGATTCATTTCTTTTCTAATTCTATTTTGGAAACGCATCAATGGTGTGACCTGCTCAGTGTCATTGTAACGAGGCTTACAGACATCCTCAACGAGGTTTGATTTAATTTCCTCACTGTAAAGCCCAGATTAAAGAAGAGCCCAGTCAATTAGGAATGGAACAAAGCTCGTACTTAAAAGGAAATCACTTAATCTGCACCCTCTAAGTCTGGAAAATTCTCCACCTTCTACCATGTCACAGCTCCAATCTTGCCTCAGAAAGACTGGAAAGTTCCTGCTGGGAAGTCCCAAGATGCCACAAAAGCCTGCACATTTCTCGTGGGTCAGATCTTGGTGGCTTCAGCCAAACCTGGGGAGGGTTTGTGCCTGTCTGGCAGCCTGGGCTGGGCTGGAGCCCCTCTGGAGCCAGGCTGGGAGAGCTGGGGGGGCTCCCTGGAGAGGAGAAGGATCCAGGGAGAGCTCAGAGCCCCTGGGAATGTTCCCCTGGAGAGGAGAAGGATCCAGG